GTATGACTGCAAGACCCCATGCCTATAAAATGAGAATATTTAAGTTTTTGGCTTAGAGCTGAACGACATACATCGTTGGAAAGGTCTCATCCTGGAGAGTAACATATGTGAAGATGAGGTTTCAACATGACCCCTGTTTTGAAATAATGCCCTTTGAACCTTGACCCAAGGGCATGTTTGAAGGCTTATACCTCAGCAACAAAAGGGGCTACAGATATGGAAATAACTGTTTTAGAGAGGTCTTGGAACAAAGTATTATGTGAGGGTAGTCAGCTCACCAAAACAACAGGGGGAGCTGCTATATATGGTTAAAATACATTTTAACAAATGTATCAATTATTTTTTAAATATCTGATAACATAAATGTGTTAACCATCCAATTATACTCCCCTGTGTACCCTCAATTAAATATATATTACTTCTTAGTAAGGGAAACACTGAGATTTGTCTAAAAGACTACAATTCCTCAGAGTCAAGTCATACAGTGGTCAAATCAAACCTGTTTTAAAAGATAGTATTAATCTGTCAGGATTATTTTGTTAAATAAAATCATATAAATCACACATGAACTGTACAGTATTGTCTTTATGTATCAAGGATTGTTACATGTTATAGTTTATAATGTTGCTAATATGCATCGATCTGTTCCAATCGATTTATTAAATTTGGTTGTAATGAAAGACATCCATAAAAATGTAACAGAAATCATTATTTATTGCATAGGAGTTTAGTTTGATGTCTAGGGTCTGATGTAACCCCTTTTAAGAGCCGCCAACCGAACGTCCACTTCCTTCCGGTTCGTTGTTGATAGCGTCCATAGCAACCACCATAGCAACAGTAGAAAACATAACATTCCAACGTTTCTCTATCGAGACCTGAAAGAATCTTTGTAGAAACGAACAAACTAAAGATCATAACCAAAAATCGAACGAAGATTATGAAGATACAATGTACATTTGTCACCAGAAAGGTTATCAAAACGACACTTAAGCCTCAAACTATCTTAAAATATTACATTTTCCACCGAAAATAAAAGGCATGTCCGCCATGTTTTTTTTTTCACCAGGGGAAAACTGGGCAGTCACGTGACCTGAGGTATGCCTATACAAAAGAATAGACAAAAGGAAACGTAGACATGTCACAATTTTAGAGCCCTTATTGTGAAAGTACTACGTTTTACACTGTGGACCAACGTAGGTATTACACATTTTGACATGAGACTGGGTTGTGTTAGGACATGGTGGTATACTGCAGCCTGTCAGTAGGGGGGGCTCTTTATTTTTTTGGTTTCACTTCTTTCCCACTCTTGTGCTGTTCATTCTTTACATAGTCCATGGTTTGAATGGACGTGTTCTAATACCACCACATCTTTTTATCAGCACCTGCTGCCTCAGAGAGAGAGTGAATGTAAGATGAAAAAGGACAGGAAGACACGAGGAAACGCGAGCAGAGCTGATGCTGGATTGTACGACTGAAGTACGACTCAGACAAAAAAGTTGCAGTCTGATGTCAAGGCTCCGGTCACAGCCATGAACTCTACTGACAATGGAGGCGAAGCTTGGAGTGTCCTCAGAGAACTCTTCCAGATGCGCGGCCGGGTTTGGAGTGGAGTCTAGTTCTGATTATGTGAGCCTTTTTATGACAGCCAGAGTATAATGAGGACTGTAAAATATGAATTTTTAATTTTGTCAAGCTATAGAGCACTGCAGTGAAAAGTGGAAATACACAGTCACACTCCCTTGGCCTTTAAAGTTCTTTTACGTGTCTCCATTAAAGGGGCAATGCAGGGCAGATTGACTGCCCCTTAGAAGTAAATGGCCTTCAATCAGTAGAAGGCTGATAGAGTTGTTGTTTGGCCTCAGCGATTTGGAAATTACTTTTCCGATATTTCAGTGGCTCCAAAGTTTCACTCTTCCAGCAAAACAGCACATGACAAAGTAAGGTTATTATAGCAAGGTGATATAGAAGCTCTTTGTTACATTTCATTCCAGTTCTCTGCTCTAATTAGCCCGCATGCTCATTATGGAAATGTGACTTTTCATTTATGTAAATCACAAACCCCTCACTGTTCAACATTACTGATGGCCCAAAATGCAGAGAGCTGGTATAATTTCTGAAAAACTCATCTACATTATATTAATTATATAAATTTTCCTCCTGGCTTTAGAGTGTTTAAAGCCAAAGCAACCAATATTTTTACACAAACAATGGTTCAGATGACTTTCTGTAATTTAAAAGTAGTTAGGATTAACCATCGACTGTTTAAAGATTTGTCAGCAGAAATACTTCACCTCAAGTGAAGCCTAAAGATTTAGAGCTCCCCCTGCTGACTGGCTGCAGCATAGGTTGTAACTCCAACTTGTTAAAGGTTCTATATGTAACTTTTTAAATGTATGAATAGTTTTTTTTTAATAAGCGAACGGTTAACTGATGTGAACAAGTAGATGTTCACTGTCTATCTGTGTGTAAACTTTATGCCGATAAATATCCAGTGTTTCGCGGCTGATGATGATGCTCGTTTGTGTACGTACGAGCACGTATGGCGAGCACGCCAGCGAGAGCGAGCAACAGGTTACTGGTGCAGTTCACCTAACGGCCTGCAGTGTCACTACAAACGCAGTATTTTTGAAAGTTACATATAGCTCCTTTAATGTTAACACGTCAAATATATTGTTTTCAATCCTGTTAAATCATGAAAGTTATTATCGAGCCGATTTGTGTGCATGTCATCTTTTTTCTGAAAAGTTTATTTTTAATTTGTTTTTGATGCTTTAAAAAGGTCAGTGGTGTAGTGCAGGTATACGCAGATAAACAGAGTATACCCACTTGTTTTTCAGTCTCCGGGTATACCCACTTCTAAATCCCCTCACCAATGATTGATCGACAATTTTCAGTAGGATGTTGCATTATGTTTTCCTAGGCTGGTGAAGGGAGGACCCTCCCTACTCTTCTCTGATTGGCTAGTACATATTGACTATGCACAATAGTTTGTAACAGAGGCTGTTTATCCTCTGCTGGACGGGGACATTTCAAAACTATATATTTGGGAGGAAAATGAAGAGTGTACTCACTTCTTCAGTCACCACTACACTTCTGAAAAAGGTAGTGCAATATACCAGGCTGACGGCTCTGTTGAAGCTTGAGGTTCCTGTGGTGCTCTGTGCACCGGATAATAGAGGAAATGTAACAAACAGTATTTCAAGAGTCACTGAACTTCCATAACTGTGAGCTTCTGCTTCTGACTGGCACAAGAATCTGTTCTGCTGTGGACTGTACCAACCTGAGGGATATATGTCATTTAAGCAGTATAAGTTAAAGGCTTACTACGTAACCTTCAGAGCAGATTTTCAGATCAAAACAAAGCTCTTTTTCAAGATCCCCCCTCCTTGGATATAAAGGAGACAGGAGCAGACAAGTGCCAATAAATATTTGAAAACAAGATTCTGCAATCAATTTCAATTAATGATATGCATCTCAAGGTTGATTGGATTGTTAAATCTCTCTCTTCTTTTGTTCACTTTGGAAAGTTAGGGTTGGCTCCCCTTTAGTTTTTTGCCACAACACAATGCCCTAGACACACAGCTTCCCTGAGTGGGCGGGCCCGTCACTCTTCCCCTCCATGGTGGCAGGACTATAACGGTTAAAGAGGGGGGGTCTTATTTGAAAAAAACAAAACATGAATGAAACATTTTTGAGCCTTTGAGTGAAACAAGCTGAAGAAAGTACCGTACAAGTGAACACAGAGACGAGGTCAACAAATCAAGTCGGGGTTGTAATCCACTTTTTCTTTTTAGGAAGTCCATTTTTCATTGGAGTATTTATGAATGTTGCTATATAAATACTCAGAATGTCTCATATTATGCCTTGAAATGTATTTATTTTTTTGTTAGAGGAAACAGCATGGTGTCAACAGAGATGCACTTCCAGCTGATCCCTACTGCACAGACTCTGGATTCAAATTGGTAATATCTCAGCACCTGTCATTGGATATTTTCGCTTCATCTTCACTGTGTATTTCCATGTGGTCTGTGCACGCTGCAGCCTACACTTTTCTCCGTTTAAAAAATGCTGGGAGTTTATTTTCCATGGAGCCAGCCGCAAGTACATGTCAAGGAAGTCAGACAAGAGACGCACAGAGCATCCAGTCAATTTCAAAATAAAATACAATTTACTGACTACCGATCGTATTTTCTATCTCTTTATCAACATGACGTCAAAACAGGCACCGAATGAACAACAAATCAACCTCAGAAAGACAAAGTAACGTGTTATTTGTATGTTTTCCTCTCTATTCCCTCCTGTAGTGTGTGCTCCTGTAGTTCTCCTGTGATGTCTGTTTACAGCTGCTCATGGCTCCGCTCTCGCTCCAGAAACTGATCTAATGGGGCAGGGTTTGGCACACAGATTATGTCATAACAAGCAGTTATTATCCAACAAGAGGAGGTTGAGGCATGTATTCCATTGACCCCACAAAGAATGGCTACCAATGGTACGATGGAGATACAAACTAAGAAGAAGCCTTTCATTTAACAGGTGGACAAAAACACAACCCAAGATCATGTGGGTTGCCAAATTCAGAAAAACATTCACAATGTAATTTCATCACATCGAACATTTCATCATATTGATAATGTGTCTGCTTACCCAAAGTATTCACATACTTTCTGCAAGAAAAGTAATTAAAAAAAAAGTGTTCATAACTTCATAAATCCTTTGTGGACTGACATTGAAAACTAGGACAATAGCCTTGTTGTTGTTGTGTAGAGAATAAAGAGATATCACTCAAACAACTCTGCAACTACAGTATAATGCAACTTTATGACATTTTTGCCATGCCCAAAACTCTAAATGATTAAAAACAACAAAGACCTTGGAGGAGTCCAATTATCTACTGCTGACAACCATTCCTAAGATGTCTCTGTGTGATCATTGTTTTGTGTGTTTGGAGAGGTAGAGCATAAACAAAACAACAACAAAGAGTTAAAGAGAAGCTCACTGACCTGTGGCGTCATACCATGACAGAGGTACATGATGGGAACATTGTCAGTGTCCGGTCCCTGGTCCAAACACAGGTTGTCTCTCAGACTGTTCTTCAACTGGAAACACAAGAGATAAAAAATTTTAAAAAAAGAAAATGTGGAAAAAATGGCTTTAACAGGTCGATACGATAAAATTAGAATTTCTGAGTGGAGCCAAGCATGGTGTGCTTTAGCTTCTCCAGTTATGATGATAAACTTTCTGGCATAGTACTAAAACTGCCAGTGAGGGGGTGTGGATTAAAATCAATTCCACACATTTTTTCTTTTCTATTTTACATACTTTATTACTCCCTGAGGGAAATTCTGGTTGTACATGGTTGTTATTGAGAGACATGCTTATCACACACACACATGGCCTGTATCACACACATGCACCTGTGGACCTGCATTAGTGGAGAGATGTCAGAGTGGGGCCGAAACACACTACTACGCAGTGAGCGCACCAGAGCGGTTGAGGCCACCTCAGCGGTGCTTGGGAAGTGTCCTGGCACCTCTCCAGCTACCTGACCAACTTCCATATAATGGTCCACATCAGGACTTGAACCGGCCACCCTCCGGATCCCAGCACCCTACAGACTGAGCTACTGCCACTCCCAACATGCGAGAGAATTTCCTGAAAATACCAAAACATTTGAAGAGAAGTGGCAGGGCTCTGATAACATCTCACACATGTTGGGTCAACATCTGGGTACAACTTAGCAAGTATGCACATGGGCCGTTTCCGAATAGCCACAGTTCAGTAGGCAGTACTTTTCAGTAAGGAGTTTAGGTATATTTTTTGGGTCCACCTCAGTATACTGAACATTTCAGTATGGATACTAACTTCTGGGTTTCATGCAGTATGGATCGGATGCGCGCTTTCAGGAAATGAATTGTATTTTACCACCCACAATGCTGTGCGAAATTAAACGTAAATCGTCACTTCACGTCAGCCTCCAAATCAAAACAAACGAGCGTGGATTAATTTAATCAATTTTTAATCTAGAGTTAAAGTCCCGTCTGAAATCACTACTTTAAATTAACAACAGAAAATATAACAAATGTCTGCATTATTATAAAGCCTTTCCCCCCTCTATTTAAATAATGATTTCACTATTTAAATGTGTCTTTATTGGTTTATTTTATATTCTGTATATTACTGTCTTTCATTTGTACTTTCCTTTATGTACTGTATGTTATTTAATCTGTTTTTTACTTGATTTACATTGTAATATTGTTTTTGTTTACCTGACTGTATATGCACATTACTCTTCTTGAATAAAGCTAAAAAAACTTTAAAAAAAAGGGTGGAATACGGCCGGTTCCGGTAACGTAAATGATGTCACTTCCTTACTGAATGAATCAGAAGAAGTAGGAACAAATATCTGCCTACTGTGCGCGCCTACTGAATAGTAGGTACTAAACAGTATACAGCACGGATAGTAGGTACTGCCTACTGACTACTGACAGATTGAGTAGATACCTGGCAATTTGGATGCAGCCCCAGTCTAGTAGAGTGCTTGAATTTGTGGCAGGAGCTCAAGAGTAAGTGCCATCCAGTTGTTTCTCCAGCAGAGACATTGCTTGTAAGTCGTTCAGATGTTTATTTAGGTTTTCACCTTAAGATATTGGAAAGTAACTTTGTTATATTATTAAATTTGCATACATTAATGCATGTCATTTAAACAATTAATACACATCTACAAGCATAAAATGAGTTAGCTTGTTTTTGATGATTACAACTTATCTTTGTATAAAGGACATCTTGTGTTGTACCAATCTATATTTTCAGTTTCACTCCTGATTCTTAACCTCATGCACATTGAGTCTGGAATAAATTAAGGAGCTAGAACGCTACATCCTGACTCCTGATCCAAATAAAACCTTTAAGTCATTCCTACAGGGAGGTCATTGTATAATAAAAAAAAATCTGCTGATTTATAAACATTTAGATATTAAAAAGTATTCTGTATCAAAATGCAAAGCCTGACTGCTTGTTTTGTTGCTATGCTAGGCTAAACTTGTCTTCACTGTTATTGTCCCATACAGATGACAGACTCTTTCTGAATACTTCATGTAGAAGGAAGGTAAGTGTCTTCCTCCCTGTAGGCCTCCCTCATCCCCCCCCCCCCCCCAAGTCTCCCTGCATTATTAATTACTCCATTATGACAGAGTGATACACTACTTGCCTCAAGTTGTGAGGCTAAAGTGAAGACAAATGGAATCACTGCAGGCTAAATACTGCCTGCCAGGAGAAAGTCATACAAACACTTTACACTACCCTTCACCTTTTTCTTGGCAGCTGCAGTGTAATATTTCAAGAGGCAAAAGCAGGTGTACTTTTTGGATCGCAGGTTACACATTTAATTTGGCTTTACTCCAAAGAGAAAAACAGATTAGGTGTACAATTTGCCTTAATTATCAGAAAAAACGTATAAGTATATTTGTTCCTTCACAGCCCTGCAGGGTGCTGCAGTGGTTAGTGCTGTTACCTCACAGAGAGAAGGTTCATGTTGAATCCCCATCAGACAGGAGCCTCTCTGTGTGGAGTCTGCATGTTTTCCCAGTGCATGCATGGGATCTCTCCAGGTACTCCGGCTTCCTCCCACAGTCCAATTACATGCTTGTTACAGTAAATGGTGACTCTAATTTGCCCGTAGGTGTGAATGGGTACTTCCAGATTGCAAAATGCCAACACAATCTGACAGTCCCTTCTATCTGTGCTGTATACTGTTAGGTACAGTACTACTGTTCAGTAGACGCCCACAGTAGGCAGATATTTGTTCCTACTTTGTCTAATTCATTCAATATAGAGAACAAACCATATGACATATTTTTGTAGGCCAACCCAGAAGTAGCATCTCCATGGGGTCTAACGAGAATTTGCCAATGGGATTTTAGCACTGGATTTTGGATCACTGCAGAAAATAATCTCTGTGGCAAACACACGTTTCTGAAGCGTAGGCATTTTGTTCATCAGGATAATCTTCACAGATGAACACCATTTTTATGATGTTTGAAGAGTTAATGCAGCCGACAGAAGTAAAAAGCTAACGTTATGCTAAAGCTAACTACACCACGGTCGGATGATTGTGACGTCACTAGCGTTATTCTTCAGACGATCTCCGATAAACTAATCCACGTAGTTTAATAAATAGTTTACTAAAATAATATTCACCTTAACCTAAAGATTAAACCTACAGGAGACATCTCCGACTAGTGAGAGAGTTCCCGCCCTCTGTGTCCAGCGTGATGACGTTTAATGTCCCCGACAACCACTGTAGTCACATTTAGCCACTTGTTAGCAACCGCCTTTTTAAAAACGCGTAAAAACTTCAAAATTCACAAGTGTAGGTATTACCTAACGTAGTTTATGTGATCTAACAAAACGCCAACATATCTTCAGCTTGTGTTAACCACAGACCTTATTTCAGGCGTCTAACCACAAACCCATTCAAAATCCCCGTTGACTTTTAGACGTTAGACCCCATGGAGCTAACATGCTAACTTACTTCCGGGTTTTAAGACTCATTCCTGTGGCGCTCTATGGAAGTGGCGTCATTAGCCCAACTTAGATGTGATAACACGATGGCTCAGTAAATAATACAAAACTTCACATTGCATGTAAACAATTTAACAACTTAATAATTTAAAGACTGCATCTGTTTTATTTTTTTCGTCCTTGTTTGTTTTGATCTGGAGGCGCATGTGAAGTGATGTTTTACATTTAATTTCGCACAGCATTGTGGGTGTTAAAATACAATTCATTTCCTGAAAGGATGCATCCAAACTATACTGCACAAAACCAGGAAGTTAGTATCCATGCTGAAATGTTCAGTATACTGAAACTCCCTACTTAAAAGTCCACACTCCATACTGAACTGTGGCTTTTTGGAAAGGGTCAATGTGACTGTGGGTGGTTGTCTGTCTCTACAGGTCAGCCCTGTGATTGACTGGCCAACAGTCCTGGTGTGTTACCTTGCCCAATGACAGCTCTTATTAGGTTAGGTTAAGTTAGGTGCTCTTAGTTATCACCTAACTTCCCCTAAACCTTATACACTGTATTTTTCATTTGAGTGTGTTTCATTGGTGTTTGTGTTTCATTGGTGTTTGGACCGTGTTCTATAGCTTTCTAGTTTGATGTCTCAAAATGTAATGTATGCTTTCTGCTTAGGTCTTGTTTGGAAAGCTTGAGGAGTATTTTGCAGCTAAGGCCATATATTTCCCTCAGGAGTTGTGAGGAGACAGACAAGCTGATGGAGGATTGGTTTCACATTTGAGGTTCAGTTTATATAGTGCAAACCAAGGGGAAAAAATGATGCATTGCTGCATTTAAGTTCTGGACATGTTCCTATTTACTTTTTTACAAGCAACCAAAACAACCACAACATGAAGATGTACAGACTACCCTATATTTAACGACCCTGAATTGCCTGTGGGGACTTATGTTGCAAACCAAATTGCCGCTCTGGGACAATAAAGACTTTCCTCAAAAAAACATTTGAACTGGAGTGCAGTCATGTTATTGCTCTCCTGATAAATGTACTGCATGACTAATTAAACCAACATTTTTCTTCTGGTCTTGTCTCCACTTCTTGGAGAAGAACATCAGCTCTGATCTGCTAACTGCAGCTTAGTCGTGTTCACTGCTGAATCGATAACCTTCTCTGTGTGTTCTCTTTTTGACGCTTTTTGACGCTATGGGCAGATGGTGTACTGCGTTTATTGGAGAATTTTCTTCCCGGAGAAAAAAAGTTGCTTACTTTTGCTGGAAACAAAGCGATAAGAGCCTTGACACTAAGCCATGAGAAAATGTGCCTTTAAACCATGAAGAAGAGAGAAATGTGTCAGAGCTTGATGATGGTTCTCTGTGGATTTCTAATTGGCAGTGATCTCTTTGAGATTACAACAACTGATGATATGACATAAATAAATCCTTTAACCCAGCTTTAGCTCGGTGCTGTCAAGATTGATGTTATTTAAGTGTGACTGACGTTATTTAAGTGTCCAGAGTTACTTAAATGAATGCTTTCAGGAAGCTTGAACATTGCAGTTGCTTTTGAAAGGTTCAGGATTTCTTTTTTCCACCGCCTCAACCCCACAGCACTGTGAGCATTCAGAGTCTTCAATCCAAGTGACCTTTAGAAAGTGGTGATGTGAATAGAAAATGTCTCTCTGCTTAACATTCCTCATAAATGTTAGCTAAATTATTGAATATGAATGAAAGGGCTCATAGGCTACTTCTCGCTTGCCTCCACACTCATTGGACAATAAAGTGCATCCAGCCTGTCAGTCAGATCAGCCACGCCCCTAATTATCCCTCTTAAAATCAATCAAATAAAAATCAATCAAATCAAATCAAATCAGATGAGGTGTAAAAAATTCACCCCGCATACAGTGTGTGCCAATAAAGACACGAGTCATTCACACCAAAAATAAAGCTTTTTTTGTTTCAAAATTTCCCAACAAATCTTCTAGTATGATAATCAATACCATCATGTTTTTTAACCCGGCAGACAAAGGAGAAAATTACATCTATATCAACTCCCCATGACTTTACAGTATGAATACAATGGACGATCTGGGAATAATAACAATGACAGGGGAATCTGTACTAAGATTTTGAAAACAGTTAATTTCCCCTCGACGTGCGGCGGACACATTTTGTTTTAATTTAAAGCAGCACATTGCGCTGATCTTTCTGAGTCCAGTCTCAACACCCTGTTCAGATATTTTTTCCCAGTTTGACTTTTTGGTGCACTGAAAACCCAACTGACCAAGAGATTGACATTTGCCCCTTGAACCAATACCTTGCAGCGGATAAAATTTACAAAGTGGCATCACGTCTCAAAACATGTATTTGGTTTTGAAAGTTAATAAATACATAATTTAGATAACTTCACTTCATTTTTCATACCTCTTTCATACCAGAGGTGGTGTTTTTTTCTTTTTGCAACCTTGAGGGAAGTTTATGTTGAAATAGGGGGTAGCATCCTTCAAAGGGCCCAGCCTTTACCTTCCCTACCCTTTTCACTCACTAATGGCTGATCCTGTTGCCTAGCAACCTCAACATCTGCACTGGAACTAGCAAATAAAACCAACTTCATTTAACCTAACCTATACCATACTTTTTTTAAAGTAATTATTGGGCCCCTTTTGTTTTTTCAACATGTATATCTCTATAGCTTTTCAAGCTGAAACAAATGACTTACATTTAAATGTGTAATTGTGCCATCTCCTTTGAATCTCGGGATGTAGTGTTGGGCCATATAAGATGAAGGATGCATTCTTCAAGTCTTCCAAACGGGACAGGCTGCTGGGATGCAATCGATCTTTAATTTCAAAGGATACAATCCCTGAACTGAGAAACCGTTTATAAGCTGGGCTGAGACAACAAGGCAAAATAAAACCCTTCTTTCTTGTTGGAGCGATGGGGGAGCTTTGTGTTCAACTTCATGACCTTAGAAATTGTTCAAAATCTGTCCAAAAAACATGGACTGTGGGCGTTGAATGAGTTTAAAGTTCACAGCACGGTGTGAATGTGTTTTATGTTTTAACGCTTTGACACATTTTATGATAACAAATACCATCTCCTTCTCGTCCAGTATTATCTGTGTGTGAGCACTGCGTTTCTCCAGCTTGTGTTTTATGTTAAATAACAGATAAGTGAATAAACAGCATCCACAGATGGCATCACACCAGAACACTTGTTATACTCTCTCAAACTGACATTTCCTGCGAGACTTTGTTTTTGTCAAATATGTAAACTTCACATCTACATCTCTCAGATGTCACTGTGGCGACGCTTTCATCTCACGCTCTCAAAGTCGAGCTCCCGCACATGCTCAGTAGTGTCAACAAATAACTCCGCTGTGACTGAAGTGTTTATCGAAACAACAAACACAAGAGGTGGCACAGAGGCTGTTTCAGAGCTGCACACTTAGTTGTTGCAATGTTTGAGCAGAGCTGGCCTTTTCTGCTGTTCTATACTCGTAGCTATTTTTCTCTGCAGCTTTGAGGTCATGCAGAGTCAAAAAGCTGACAGCGTATGACCTTTTCAATCAGAAGGAAATAGTGTCTGAATCATAATAATTTTCAGCCTGTATTCAAACCTGCAGGACACGCGTTTAAACTATCAAAAATACAGCACATCTGCACTTAAGTCGTACTTCTTAAAGATTAAACCGGGACTGCAATCAAAAAACACAATCAAAAAGGAAATTAATAGATTGCTAGTACTCTGACTCAGCTGAGAAGTACTTATTTTTCTTCCTCTATCAGTAGGAGCAGTCACAGTGCCGGGATAATTCTACGCAGCTTTCGACAGATTACTGTCATTTTTCAATTATGTAAAATCCTTCTACAACTGATAGCTGAAGAGAGGAATAACCATGCGGGAATTAAGTGGTGCAAAAAGGTTCACCCTTTCAAAACCCTGCTTCTGTGATTTTGAAGTGAGCTCTTACAGCCTGTTCTCCCGTTAATGGAAAAGTAAAAGTTTCACAGCCTGAAATCTACTCGGAAAAGACAGATTGAAATGGAAAAGTTTAGTCAGGAGGAGGCTTAAAGGTCTCACTGATGTTTTGTTTGTTTTTTTTAACCATAGCTGGGTATATGAGCAATATGTCAGGGGCCGCTTTAAATGGACCAAAATGTTTCCTGACTGCAGCCCTCCTTCAGCTCTCTTTCTTCCATCAGCATCAGTCCCAGTTGCAGCATGCTGAAAAGCTCCCAATGCCCCATTTTGCTGTCCCCAAGTCTGTTAATGAAAGCTCAGAGAACCCTTGAAATAATTTAAATTATGATTCTAGCCAACAAAAAAAAGCTAACATGAAAGATGGTTAATTACTGCATTCAAAAACATGTCAGCAATACATGTGCTATTGTTCCTTTATTTTAAGCAAAATGTCTTAATTGTGGCAGAATGCAATTAAGAGTCTGCCTCACGGCTGTAAAGTGTCTCCAAGAGACTAATGAGAATGTGTTCCACATTTTATGAATTCCTGGCTGATTTGCTGCCACAACGAAGGCTTATTAATTGTTGATAAAGAATAAGAGTGTCTTGTTGCTATTTCATCTCCAATTCAAACAGTCCTGAATACTTTATATTGTGCATTGACGAGGTTCTCTGTACTGTAGTACCAGCGGCAACTGAGAGACAAAGTGTGTGTTTTAGTGATTCTCACACTGTCTAGACTTTACAGACCTGGGTTTGGAGGTTCATATATGGGATGAGCACATTTTACAGTGTTGTAATGAAAACAATCAGAGTTCCTGAGAAACGAGGAAAAGCTGAACTCACCACTCCGTAAGCAACTGTGTCACTGTACGACCGGAGCTCAGGGTAAATGTTGGAGAGGAACCAGCTGAATGGTCGACACTGGAGTCTGGATCTCAGGGCCTTTCTTGCAGAAATGTCCCCAATGTCTATCCCTGAGTTCTAGAGAGAGAAATGACAGTAAACACATCCAAGGAATGATTAACCTTTTTTTTTACTTCACTTGAGGGAAGTAAACTTCTCCATTGTTGCAGGAAAATTAAGAGCAAAGCCGAATTTAGCATCTCAAGGTCAATGACAATACTAAAGAAATAATAACATAATAATAATAATAATAAGTAATAACATAATGAAGGGGTGAAGGTCTTTCAGTGAAAAGAGACTGAGCAGAGGGAGTTTAAAGGTGTGTTAAGTTTCTTGTTCTAAATCCACTCTGATCCTGTATTTGATCATGTCTATAAACCCCTCTATTTCAGCCCTGCTCAGAACAGGCTGTTTCTGTGTCTGTACCTTTAAATATGTAAATGAGCTGTGTCTGACCACGCCCCCTCTCTGGAAGGGCTTGGGTGTCACTGGCTTTCTTGCTACATGTTCTATTGTTTACGGTGAGAAGGCAGACTCAGAGGGCAGAACAAACACCTAGCTGTGGGAGTGTCACCCACCTGGGGGAGGGGTTACTGCCCTTTGTGATGTCATGAAGGGAAAATCTCCAAACGGCCTGTTTGAGCACACATTTTCTGAAGTGGAGCAGGCAGAAGACGATGGAGAGAGGATGGACTTTTTTCATAATTAGGGGGTTTGTAGACAGACTAGGGACACATGTTGGTGTTAGAGAAACATGGTAGAGTAAATTCTGTATAATATGTGACCTTTAAAAAAACATAATTACATAGTCAACAAAAGAAATACAATAACATTGAATAAGGTAGCAGTGCTACTCAGAACTGTGGATTATTTATTTATCATCAGAATAACTGAATGAATAGGCTACTAGATCTTGATACTTTGCTGGATCAAATTTTTCAGAATCTGATAAAAACTAACTTCTTGGCTGCTGAAAGTCAAACACTTATTTAAGTTTATGTTCTGCTTGTTCAACAGTCGTTTGATAAATTGATTGATTCAAAACATTCAGAGAGGATTTAAATTGCTATCTGAATTGTCTTTTTTTTTTTTCTTTGGTGCGGGTGATTTTCCTTTGGTGCTAGGTAAGACCTCTTCGGGGGGTACCAAAGAATCCTCTATGCAGGAAAAACCCTGTAAGTGAATAAACAACATCCACAGATGGCAGCACACCAGAACACTTGTTATACTCTCTTAAACTGACATTTCCTAAGAGACTTTGTTTTTGTCAAACTAGGTAAGGAAGCAGTGCTACTCAGAACTGTGGATTTCTTAAATATCGTTAGAACAGTCGCTGAATGAGTAATAGATCTTCATACTTTGATACTTAATTCTTCCATATTAAATCTGATTAACAAAAAAGACTTCTTGTAAAAGTTTGGGAGTAACATTTCCGGTGATGTTTAAACAGTTTCAGAAGTGAGCTGAATTTCTGAATATCATAAATCCATTTAAAACATTTAAAACATTTTAACATTTAAAGTTCCTTGAAATTCAGTTGAAACAAATACATTTCATTTACTTTTGAGATTCAGTTTTTCAATGTGGAATTCAAAGTAAACAAAGGAAACTGAATTACATTAATCATAATCACTTTTTACACATAAATTCAAAGTTAGCTATTCAAATTTAAATATAAATGATTCATATTAATTTCCTTATGCCTGGTTTTCCTTTTGCTGGATACAAACAACATAAAGCATCAGCATGGCCTTGGAGGATTTGTGGAAGGCATTTTCAATCACTCGAGTTCTGTTGGATTCAAAATGTATAAAAAAAAGGACTCAGATAATGAACACAGTGGTGTATGTTAAGTGCAGATAAATCTTTGAATTTTGAAATCTCTTCCTACCAAGGTCACTTTTTGTAGATGGAAGTACTTCTGACTCAGATAACCCCTCTAGTAAAGTAAAACAAATACTACTAACTTTCCTATCAGGGAGCCAACTTTCAGAAAAAAGAGCAAAACGAAAAAGATGGTACCAATTTTTTATTTTGTTTTTAAAAAAACAATTTTTTATACATAACCTGCATATTTTGAAATTATGAACATGCAATTGATCGGGACATTTTGGATGGACTTGGCAACCTTCTCCAACCCAGTAGCAAACATTTTCTGTATTGTTATCAAAACAATTTGTACAGACAGTATAACTATCTTCCACAGACAAAGCGTGTTTCTCCAAATCTAATGATTCTTTATTGTAGACACTAGTCATGGTTGCTAGGTGATTTGGGACAGCTCTTTTGAACAGAAACAAACAACTTTCCTTTCACACAACCTCCCACACAAAGAGGACAAGCACAGTATGAAACTCACACACACACACACACACACACACACACACACACACACACACACGTTTACCTGCAGTGGAACATTCCAGGCCATGTAGACGTGATTCTTGTACTGGTCCATCCACACCTCAGCCACCCTCAGAGCGTTGCGCCGCACGTTGGCTGTCAGGTTCTCTGTGTAGGGTTTGTGAGCACGCTCAATGTGTGCGATCCTAGAACAGGGCAATACCTCCACGCTCCCGCCGCACTGCCATACCTATGTTACATACGTACACAAACAAACAAAACGTACACACTTTAGTAAGAGCATGCACATCCAAAACCACACGGATTCTGATTTAGCAGGGACTCAGTCTGCTTGATTGAATAAGCATGAACAGAAAAGAAAGGTATCATAGGTGTCAGTAAAAAATGTGGGGTGACTGTGGTAGAGTCAGTCGTCTCTCAACTGGAAGGTCTGGGGTTCGATCCCCAGCTCCTGCACCAACTCCATATTATTTTATTCAAACATTTGTACACCTGTATATTGGCAGGGTAAGTATTTTGTATATTTTGGGTTTTAATATTTGTATATTTCTATATTTAACTGGGCATCTACAGGCTTGCTCCAACAGTAACCTCTTACACTTAACCTCAAGTTGCTCCAGCTGCTTCGTCGAGAGGATATGAATGTATATGAATAGTAGTAAATTAGTAAATGATAATAATGACTTTACATAGCAGGAACATTTCATTGGCAGGCTGTCTAGATTTTCTTCGTTTGAGTTTTTTTTAGATTTATGAGTTTATGAGTGCATGTGGGAAAGTCTTTAATTTATCTACTTCAAGTTACAGTTCCTCTATTTTTAAACTGTTATACTTCAGCAGTTTTTCTTCAGATCTGCTCCAATTTCCCTTAAAGGTCACATATTATGAAAAATACACTTTACGATGGTTTTCTAACACTAATGTGTCCCTAGATTGTCTACAGCCCCCCCCCCCCCCCCCCGCAATAATTAGACAAGTACATCCTGTCATTTGTCTGCTCCACCTTTCAGAAAATGTGTGCTCCCTTCATGACATCACAAAGGGCAGTAGCCCCTCCCCCAGGTGGGTGACACTCCCACAGCTAGGTGTTTGTTCTGCCCTCTGAGTCTGCCTTCTCACCGTGAACAATAGGACATGGAGCAAGAAAGACCGAGACACCCAAGCCCTTCCAGAGAGGGGGCGTTTACATATTTAAAGGTACAGACAAAGAAATGTCTTGTTCACAGTGGATTTATTCATGTTTTGGGGGACATCTGAGAGTTATTTAAACTGGTTAAATAGGATAATAATATGTGACCTTTAAATTAAAATGTTACACTATAGGAGCCCACTGACTGTAACTGCTCAAAGTGCACAGCAGTGGGCACGAGTTACAGATTGGTTAAAGTAGCTGGTCCAGTAAACTGAAAAAGTATGAATTCAAGCATGAATGATGTTACATTGATCAACAACTTGATGATGGATATGAGCACCAGAAACTAGGGGTGAAGCTGGGTTGATATAGAGGGTTACTTGAGCTGTTTCCTCGGAGGCTGGGGCCTTCTCCACCTCTTTGCCTGTTAGTAGATTGATTTCAAGCCGTGACATATATGCCCCTGTGAGGTTTGGCCTTCAATCTGAATGTAAGTGCTCTACCCTCTGTAACGTCTTAGGAGATAGTAACAGAAGCTTTACAGAGCCAAGATGCTATCAGTGGATCCAGCAGGGGAGTGCAGTGCTATGTGTGTGTGCATGTTTGACTGTGTGTGTGTATGTGGAGCTCCCTCTGTGCCGTGATTCCACAACGCCCAAACTCAATGTGAATTCACAGACTGGGACACCAAGATTATGATGTCACGGAATCAATATGAATATACAAAGACATGATGACCGCTGGCTTAGTCATGGCCCTTTTGCAAAAAAAAAAAGAAGCAGTCTGAAAAGGACTATCGAGACTACGCCCAGAGACTATGTCCATGATTAAAAACGATTCATTCTTTCCATGTGAACTTCCCGTTCTTGTTATACCAAAGAGCCATTTGAAAGTATTTGATTTTTTATGAATAACACAGCTATTAGGGTTAGTAACCCTAACTTGTTTTGTTCAAAAAAGCTTGTTGCCATTCAACCTCGTCTACTTAATTAGGTTTGACTGCCTTTTTAACTTCTTTTCAACATTTACAAAACAAATTTCACCTTCAAAATGGTTAGAAGCAGTCCTTAAAAAATGAGTCTTTTAAAGATTCTTCTACAATCTTTTGTCAACTGCTTTTTCCATGATAACACTTAAATTCTGTTTTTCCGGCACCTAAGTAGTTCATGTACCAGAAAACAAGCCCCGCTTAATGCTTATTTAAATAACACTTTTGGTGTTGTGCACTTGGTGTGTCTGTGCTATAATCCCTCCTGCCGGCCTTGCCTCCTTCACTGTATCCTTCTAAAGCAGAGAGCTGCTGCTGAACAACACAAAACTGACGCACTGGCCCGGTGCCCAGGTAGGAGAGCACAGACCGGAGCCAAAGTCTGAGATAATACACGCTTCCCTCAGAAATACCCCAACGCTCTCCATAAAGGATTTAAGACACAGGGTTACAGTGTGAGGAGCTATTCTTCGAGCATAACCATCTATGTCTGTGTGAGTGTGGGGGTGTGCAGAGCCAGATAGAAACAAGGACGAGAAAAAAGAGGCAGACAGTCAAGAGAAAGAAGAGAGCTTTACACAGAGTGGGAAACATAAAACAGGGAAGGTGAGGGGGATAAAAGTGAAAGAAAGTATGGAGAAAAGATAAAGGCTGTGAAGTAGAGGGAGGAAGGAGGATAACAGCTTTTCCTCGTCTTTTAGAGTCATCCAGCCTTTTCTCTTTTTATAGTATCTCTTTTAAAAAGCCTTCTCTCATGGGATGAAACAGGGTCATGCACCAGCTATTATCCAGAAAAAACTTCACAGAACATCATTATGGCGTTGAGTAGTCACAGTGAATAAGTGCTTTGGGTGTCCAATGTGTTGAAGTCGTCTCTCATTTGTATGTGTGTCACCCTGACAAAACGTAGCACATTTACATCCTGAATGGCGTCTCAGTTGGTCTCTTTTGGTTTAAACACGGAACAAATCTTGCTGGAGGACTGCTGGTGTTTTTTAAAAAGTTTTAATGAGAAAATGAGTGTGAAAAAGCAACAATAAATGAAGCTGTGAATTATAAATCAAGCAGAAGACGCCCATTGAGATAAAAAAAAGAAAAGAATGAAAGACGGGAGAGGACGAGCACTAAAAATGCACAATATTTCACTGAGGCGTAGATGGAGCTTCATGAAAGCAATCTTTATCACAATAGAAGCAGAGATAGGGAGCGCTTCTGCAGCAACTGTGAGAAGAAAATCACATCGCGGATAAAAAAAAGGCTCCTGTGTTTGGTCGGGAAGAGATGGAAATAGAACATACTGGCTGTTTTTTGTTTTTGTGTAACCTTTTGTTGAACTCAGCATATTATAAATCAGAGTAAGAAAGATGCCCTTGAGACACATGACCAGAACTGATTCTGTTAAAATATCACTCCTGATTTACATACATCATTGATTCTGCAAAGGGTTCTTTTGCAACACAGATTGGGTCCTTAACAAAAAATGGAAATATTGACTTTTTCCTGACGCTCTTGATGTGTTTATAGTCAGAATGTTGCATGAGATAATTTACAATGGTGATGTGTTTGTGTGTGCCTAGGCAAGCTGGTTGGAGCTGTAGTTGTTGTCAGGCCCTGTGGCACTGGCAGTGTTTGCGCTAGATGAGCAAATGTCACACTCTGGCTGATCTTCCTGCAAACCTTTTGTCGCCTTTTAATATAAAAACAAAAAAAAAAAAAAACAGTTTGATAGATGGGGCTAAATCTGTTCAGTTGTGGCCTGCCTGACTCGACCTTGATGTGTTAAGTACCACACAACAAGCTCCACAGTAGCCTTGAAATGTCTCTCCACCATTTGGTTTCATTTCAGTTTACTTGTTGTCATGGCTGCACGGGGCACGGGGCCGCACTGTGCCTGACTCTTGGCCCTCTTTAAGTGCATAGGCTAAAGTGTAATGATGACAGCTGGAGGGAGCATCTGATGCAGGGTCAGAACAACACAGACGGACGGTGCTGGAGGCAATGGTGAGAGCGTCCTGTAGAGAGACCAGCTGTTTGAGGTTTCACTGCTCATACTACTCTGAATAAGCCATCCCTGTCTCCTCTGCGCTTATGACAACAGGTGTTCAAGCAATTTTTTAGGGCTTATACTGAGGAATCATATGGCAACGGAGCTTTTCAATAGAGAATAACCTCCTTGAACTTTGCAGTGGCTCTCATGGTCACAGCACTGTGAGAAGCTAAGGAGAAAGCAATTATATGCTGGGTTTTAGTTCACTGCAGAGGTCTGACATTCAGGTTTCCTATGGATAGAATCAAGGATGAGCCCTGAACAAAAGCTTTATATGAGCGAGAGAAGGACACATTACTGCCAAGGAGACGAAATGAGCACAAACAACAGGATAATAAAAGCCGTAGGCAGAATTAGTCATTTAAATTCATGGCATGATATAAAGTTTATGACATCTGGTCAAAGCGATTTTAAAGGGAATATTTAGGGTGCTATAATTCCTATAATGAGGGATCTTTGTTTGTTTGAGCTGATGCTGAACCCTGAACAGCTCTACAGTCACTGCAACATGTCTGAACCAAGCTGATACAGAAAGCCTCCACTTTAGTTTTTCTGTACATGAAGTCCTTCCTAGCAGCAGCAATTGCAAGCGAGGGCAATCTCCACTGAGGGAGGTGGATGGGGACCGAAAATGACTCAGGAAACCACGGGACACATTCGTTTAAACTCTCCATCCTAAGCAGAAAACAGCCGCCACCAAGGATACTGATAGATGGCCTGCTTGTTCAGCAGTATAGTTGCATTCCCCACTGGTTCCCCAGCAGAAGAGGGTTACTTTTAGCATTTTCATGAGCATACCTATAGTGCTGTACTGTTTGTTAAAGGGACCCTGAAGAACCTTGCCATCTATTTTTAATGGCAAGTTGTTTTCTCACTAATGTGATGATGTTTATAAGCATCAAGTTTTAATTGGAATATAGCTCACCTAAATTTTAGCTAAGGACCAGAAAGTATTTCCCTTCAAACAGTTGCAAACAATTTTTTTTTTTTGGTGCGCTTCACAAATCATAAGCATGCATTTAAAGGTTACATATTATGCTAAATACACTTCACCATGTTTTTCTAACACTCGTGTCCCTAGTCTGTCTATAAACCCCCAAATTATGGGATAAGTCCATCCTCTCCGTCTTCTGCCTGCTCCACTTTTCAGAAAATGTGTGCTCAAACAGGCTGTTTAGAGATTTTCCCTTCATGACATCACAAAGGGCAGTAGCCCCTCCCCCAGGTGGGTGACACTCCCACAGCTAGGTGTTTGTTCTGCCCTCTGAGTCTGCCTTCTCACCATAAACAATAAGACATGGAGCGAGAAAGCACCGAGTACACCCAAGCCCTTCCAGAGAGGGGACGTGGTCACACACAGCTCATTTACATATTTAAAGCTACAGACACAGAAACAGCCTGTTCTGAGCAGGGCTGAAATAGAGGGGTTTATAGGCATGATCAAATACAGGATCAGAGTGGATTTAGAACAATAAACTTCACACACATGTTTTGAGGAGCTCTGAGACTTATTTAAAGTTTTTGAAAAAGAGGATAATATGTTAACCTTTAAATTATTTCAGATGTAAATTACCATTTTTGAAAAGTGTGTTTGCTTGACTTTCTTATATACATGGAAAGAAAAATGTCTCACCTTAGGTCTTCATCCGTCTCTGTATTTGGTTTTTGACTCCCTGAACGTCTACTTTATAATTTTCTTTAGTTTATTGATGGCTTCCATTGGCTATAATTTCACAAATTGGATTTAAAGAGTAGGAAAAGTGATGTGCAGTATCCAAATCTTTTAAAACCTCACATCTGGACAAAATAAGAGTGAAGTTAATGATTGTGCATTGCAGTATTCATTTATCTTTTTAAGCATTAAGGTCGCAATAAAATGAATCACTTTGATTTATTCTACTCAGGTCCTCTTGTCATTGATTTTGCACAGCTGTCCACTAAATCTGGACAAGGTTGAGCCTAGGAGAATCCTACATTTTACAGAGTCTGATGTGTTCTTAACCCAGTGGCTCAGAAGAGCGCCGGTCAGGCTCGGGCTGATAATCAAACATGTGCTTCACTGACACTACAGTAAATCACTCTGCACTCTCCTGAGTCAACAGTTTCTCTCGGATGTCTCCTGAGTCTGTTCAGAATCAAAGCTGTTCCAACAGTCGCTTCCTCTGAGGAATGATTTAGAGTCTCAAGGGAATGCTGCATTTGTGCTCCCTCTGGGAATCACATAAACTGTCAACGACTAAACTGCAGTCAAATCAGACAACTCACGTTTGTATCGTTTAAAATATTAACTGCAGCAGAACAGTTTGTATTTGGCGTTTAGGCTCCGACCCCATCTCTCCTATCACAGTTTTAATTTACATTTGAGGAGTGATGTGATGAGGCGGCAGTAGCTCAGTCTGTAGGGAATTGGGTTGGGAACCTGAGGTTCAAGTCCTGGTACGGACCAAATCTTGAAATTGGTCTGGTAGCTGGAGAGGTACCAGGGCACTTCCCAAGCAATGCCAAGTTGCCCTTGAACAAGGCACTGAACCCCTAACTGCTCTGGTGCGCTCTCTGCTTAGCAGCTAGTAGCAGCCCCACTCTGACATCTCTCCACTAGTGCATGTCCACAGCTCCTGTTTGTGCATGTGTGTGATTCGGGCCTATGTGTGTGAGAAGCATGTCTCTATAAATAACAGACTGTAAACCCACATTTCTCTCAGGGATTAATAAAGGATATCAGAATGAAAAAAAAAACGGCGTCTTAAACCCCCAGTGTGAGCCTACAGGTTGATGCTGGGTCGGTGGTGGGGGCTGAGTAAGAGTGCAGTACTAGTGCAGAGATCAGAAAACTGCAGCTTAAATAGACAGCTAATTGGAAGGAGGTGTTGTCAGGTGATTGTTGAGAATGGCATGTCGAGTGTGAAATCAGTGCCGCTTGAGTTGCCTGATCTAGCTCGTAGGCGTCGCCTCATGTAAGCTGTCAGAAAATTGTTTAAAGTCTATTTTTGCTAAAACTAAAGTGAAACAAATACTAAAAGAATGAAATTGCTCATCATATAATATTTGAAGAAATGTGGTTACATTAATAACAATAAACCAATTTAAATATGGCCTTCATACTTTAGATAAAAATGTTATCAAGCAGATGTTATATTAGAGTGTTCTGCTCAGTGTGTATGAGTCAGACTGGATGATAATAATAATGTAAATGACTGATAAAGCCTCAGTCTGTCAAACAAAGGTCATTATGCTTTTTTTTGCATGCTGGACATGTCTACTGTTCAGGTTATTTCAATTTGCACACGGTCAAAAGCAGATGTCTCTACCTCTAGGATACAAATTATACTCTGATATGAATAATTTCAGTACATGGAGGGCTTTATGTTGAAGTGTGAAAACTACACAGTGCATGCCTGTTGTTGCCATGGCTATGCAGTCTATCACATTCAGGTACTCAGGCAGACTCACCCTGATGCCGAGTTCCACATTTTCTCCTCCATAAATTTCCATGCCTTCATCTAGCAGGCCAATCTCCTCAAAGTACTTTCTGTCGACCACAAAGCAGCCAATCAGAGCAGGGCTCCTAAAACAGAGAGTGAATATGGGAGAGAGAATGGGTCAGAAAAAGAAAGGTAACAGTGTGTTATATCAAGCCAAATGCATAGAAGTAAGGGGATGTTAAAAGCAACACATTCTTAAATACACACACACACAAACATATTCCTAACCTACATGAGATTAATACTGGACGTCAGAGACCTGAAGGTCTACTTATTAAATATGCTGTACCATTGTTTCCTGCAGCGCTTTATAGTTTAACAACACACTGCCTCTGCCTAAACTACGGTTGTAGAACAAAAAATCAAACTCATTGAAATCCTCCTGGGTCTCTAGGTGAGATGCTATGATCGGATCAGACCCCCAGGGTTCAGGCTGCATGTGATCCCCTGATACAAGACTTTCATCTCACTGTGTCTCTGTCATACAGGTATCAGCTGGTGGTGATGTATCCAAGGATTCCTATGGATTTGATAACTGTTGAAAATATCTGAGGTAATGTTTGTACTCAACAACAAAAAATAAATAATATAGGTTAAGTCAATATTTAATTACAATAGTGGAAACTGGTGAATTTTCTGCAGGAAACAGCTGCTGCAGATTCCATTTCATGTATCATAGAGCCAGTTGTAAAAATGATGATGCCCTCACACAGCAAAACCAATTCGGGACATTTTCAGGAAATCAGAAGGGACAGCAAACAGATCTTTCATCAACATGAAACGGAATCAGCAGGAGTGAAAAATAACCAAGATTAGTATTCATGCTGTCAGTCCCACACATCTCCTTGTATCAATCTAAAACACAGCACCGCAGCAAAAACAGACTGTTTGGGTGTTTTTCTCTTCCCTGTAGGAACACACACTGGCAGACGGCCACACACTTAGAAACCAAACGTTCCCACTACTGGCTCTGAACATACTCTTGTCTCTACAGCCTAAAGACAAAATATGTAGTCCCAAGTAATCCATTAAATATCAGAGTGTCCTGAACAATTACAAAATCCTCCTGGCAACAACACCCTTCTTCCACTGAAAAAGTAATATAAGTTAAGCTCTCGCTTCGACCCGATCACGGTTTGACCCACTGGCCACGTCACATGAGGGTTGGATAAATGGTGAAAATGTTGTTTGTAGGTTTTGTGCTGCCTTAATTTAAAGTACAATCTAAAGCTAAAGAATCAAAGATAACATGTTTTGCAGAAAGTAGCTCTATCTTTAAAAAAAGAAGACAAGATGCTAAATCAGTCCTTCTAAGCAAAGAGACAAATTACATCTGAGATAAAAAGTAATTCAGAAGATGAAGACATAGATTATTATGGCATTCATCTTCTTCCAAACAATATTAAGTAGGATATGTCCTTTTGTCTTTGTCAGGATTGATCAACTCTGCATCTTGACCACACAAACAGATATCTCACCCTCTGCTCAGAAGGATATTGGTAAGAAAAAATGGTTTACAGCATTGGAAAATTGGATCATTATACCTATTACACTTTAGGGTGGCTTCTGACGTGCTGTAACAGTGGTGACAAAAATCACCTATTTTGCTTCTGAGTTCTGTGTAGCTGCTACCCGCTGGGTCTGAGTCTCCACTTTGAATGTGTTAAATGTAATGTTAACACCCCCAGGAATTAAAATGAGTAATCTATTGAGACTACACCTACTAAAATGTACATACATGATAATTATTCATGGGGATTAGTGCTCAAAAAATAATAATGTAAAAATAATGAGCTTAGTACGTGATCTTATCCCCCACTACTTCAATATGCTTCAAGTAAAAATGATTAATAATTAATACGACTCTGGCAGATTATGTTGTGGTTTTCTCACTTATTTTATGATAACGAGAGAATTTCTTCAACAAAACTAAACTGCCTAACAGGTTTGTTTCTTTCTTATTATTTTGACTCCTGGTTAAGACTTTCAGCAGTCCCTGAACTCACCTGATAGGGGCTGTGTGGTTGCGTTGTGTCCACCAGGACTTTGGTGGGTTGAGGTATCGACACCACAGCTCCCAGTCGAAGCCCTGAGCAGACAGTGGGTACTCCTCGATCTCAAAGGTATCGTACTTGATGTTGTCAAAAGAGGGAGACACCACCCGGGTCCGGTCCTCCTTTATCCGGTGCAGGATAGGTTCTGCCCTGTGGACACAGAAAGAATAGACAGTCAGTGATCCATTGCACAGTCCAGATCTCCAAGCCAGGGCTTAACCTCTGTTAAAGAAAACACATTTATACAAAAACGTGAAGAGGAAAGCAAGGACAACTGAAATGAAAGTTATTTATTTTCAAAAGGATTATCTCAAATGTATCCCTCTGTTTTAACAGGTGCAAAATCTCTTGAATTTTTCCAGCTTTGTTTGCAGTCATTAGACATGGTTGGTTGTCTTACAGAACGACAGGCTGTTTTAACTTTGATTTCTAGTATCTGTCTTGGCATGTGTTGCAAAGTTAGAGCTCTTGTGAGATACTTTCAGTTTGTGTTGGTGCCCCCTTGTGGACAAATTGTTATCACTTATCTCTTTGCTGATTTTTTTCCTTTACATGCACAACTATTTTAACAACAAAATCTAATTTCTTTCTTTTAGCTTTCTTTTCAGAAGAACTCAACTTCTTTATGCGCTTGACCGAAAGGTAGGTTGAGATAGCAATTTAAACATGGCTACCGCCATCGATGGGCTTAAGGGCGTGGTCACACTGGCAATCTGTACCATGCCGTACTCAAGCATGATTGGCCCCCGCTGGCCAGCACAGACTCCACGGACGCGAGGAAAAAAAAAAGGGAGGCGCAGTCAAGTCTGCGTCTACACATCGGAGAACAACACAGAGAACATGACAGATACTTTGTGGCTTATATTGTATCATTTTAGTTAGATACAGCCATGAAACTCTGGATTTCTCCATAATGAAGGCTGTCAGCATTGTTTACCTGCATACTTGTGCTTGTGCATGAAGTGTACCGTACCGAAGCACACCTCTCCGAAGTGTGCCGAAGCCAAGGAAGTGTACATCAAAAGATCAGCAAAATGTACGTCAATTTGAAGCAATCAGTGGATCTTCATGGATGTCATATGTTTGGATTAAATCTTTCTCTTGATTTGGACACGTTTGTAGTGGAATATTATGACGGGGAGAGTACAGTAAATCTTCAAATGGTAAGGCAAAAGAAAGTTCAATTGGCTGCTCAGTGGTCTGACGGATGTGTAGATTGTGGCTGCTGAAGTGGTTGAATCAGCACACATGTGAGTTGTCAATGTATGTGCCCTCTGTAATGGAAATAGGTGAGAAAAACAATGGATCAAGTCCTATCATGGAATTAATTGTTATTCCAAGTCTAGAAGACAAATGGTTTAATGATGTTCGACATTTTTGCAATTGAGAATATGGATCAATGAGAGCAACAAAAAAAAGTCGAAGATCAGTCGATAATAATCTGATGAATCAGGTTCGACTATGTGAGTCCATAGTCAGAGACAGGCCTAGTTTCATGTACATGTACAAAGGCACATGTACTTTTGTTCCTGAAACAAAAGACAACATCTTTCTCTGGCAAATTAGCATGCAATAAAGGATTTTGTTTTTTTTACTTTAAATTGACTTCACTTACCATCAGCAGTGATCAGACATCCACATTGAACATGTTGGCACATTCCTTTAAAATACCTGGAGGCAAGTGTCTGGTAGTGATTGTCTAGTGTGATTTCCAAAACTTAAAATTAATATTTTCTACCACCGTGAAATGGCTCATCTTTTTCAGTTGAGCTTGTGTCTGTCTTCATAATGAACTTGTGGTGGATTGGTTGGTTGTAAATGATTATTGTGATCAGGCACTAGCTTGAGGAAAGAGTTGATGCATTTCAAGGCGAAACACATCCAAACCTCGTTTCTTTTTTTTTTTTGATGTGATTCAGATTAAAGTTTTAAAAATTTGAATATACTTGAAATTACTACACATTTTCTAGCATTTGGCACTCTCTTGGAGCCACATGGTCATGTTTTCTTAATGGACAGTCTGTTGGCCGCTGTTAAGGCCACTTTCACAGGTCCTTCTGAAGTTGTCTTTGACTCTATGAGTCATGGATAAAGGCAGGAAGTAGAGGCTTCATTCATAATTTGTGGCACCTTCAGTGTTTGTGTCTGCATGTCTGAGTGTGACCGCAACACGGTTTCAAGCAGCAGCATGCAGTAGCATTGAGTAAAAGAAAAACTCTGCAAAACCCTCTCTACTCCCAGCTGAGCATCAAAACATTAGACAAGACCACACCAACTACATTCTCCTTTTATCTCCTGCATTTGTCAGGAAGATTATTACTGATCTGTGTCTGTGGGATGTGTATGTTGGCAGCTGTTTCAAAAACAGCTTTAAAATCCAGAGATGTGTTGTGTGTCTGTGTATCTGTGTGTTTCGTTTAAGTTTAGTCAATGATTATGCTATCTCAGTAGAGATATAGTCATTTAGTATAAAAATTAACAACCATTAAGAAACAGAGAAGAAAACAAAATAAGAAAAGTGCAAATGTAACAAATCTGTGGTGGAAGCTTGGGAGTGAGTCTACACTGGATAAAAAGGTCAATCCACCAATGAGGTGTCAGAATGGAGCTGAATCCAAATTGAAGGAGTGCTGGCCAGAGCTCTTCAAAACGGCAGAGCAGACAGCTAGACTGGACTACTGAGCACAGTCTTTGATCAGCTTATATCTAATGCAGTGAATGTTGTGTGCAAAGCTGCATCGTTTTGCCCATTATGATACTCCTGCATGTTGATTAGCTTCTAAGACTGAACGAGGCCAGTTGTAAAACTGTGCAGTTATCACAGATGTGCTGTACAGAAGTGTTGCTGAAGGCGGATGTGTTAGTGAAGACAGACATATCAAAGAAATGGAGCAGGTGGTTCAACATCCAAAGAGTTTGGTTCTTGGAGTCAGTTGTGCAGTGTGTGGTCAGAGTAACTTAATCAACCGTCCAGCCAAACTTATGTTGATAGAGCTTCTAGTTGGGGCTGGCTCAGGCTTGGACCATCCTATGTTGCTATAGGCTTTGACTGCCAGGGGACTGCCACACTGTGCTCATGTACCTCCCTTTCTCATGCCTTTACATCATATCACAGCATGTAACTACCTTAACTCTTCATGTGCCATTAAAATAACTAACCATATATTTTCTCTGGAGCTCCTGAGCTCTCTTGTTCTGAAGGTTTCTCTGGATTGTTGCTGTGGACTCTTTTTTTTTTCTTCATTGCTGTTCCTCTGTTTGATTGTTTGGTTCTTTCGCTCTATCTGCAACAGTCTCTGTAGATGACTGTTCAACAGGAGGCTAGTTCTGCACAAGGTGTCTGCCTGTTAATAGGATGTTTTTCTTTGTAATGACTCCTTGTAAAGTGTTGCAAAATTATTTTTTTCATGTTGGATTAATGTTCAGAGTACGGCCTACACCTGTTTTTTTTTTTGGTAAGTGTCTTGAGAGAACAAATGTTATGAATCGTCACTTTACAAATAAAGATTGATTAATGAAGACCTGAGGAGGATTTGGATCAAAAACACTTCTACTTTAAATCAATCTCCTTAGTTTGTGCATGAAGAAATCATCCCCAATTATTGATTGAAGCAGCATATCCTTGTTTGGAGAATTTCAATGGTCAGTCACGTTCAATTTGCCATCGAAACAGGGGCAGCAACCTCCTTTCAAATGAGGCTCTCATTGGCTGTTATAGTCTATAAACAGTGTCATACTTGGCTAAATCAGGTGTTATTAAAAGGTCGGTGAAACAGCTTAGATACATTTGAAGCAATCCATGAATTTTATCATCAACACTGATTGGATGGAAAGATATAAAATGTCATCAACCTCAAATTATTGTTGATGGACGGCTTGCCTCCCCCCACCCCCTTGCTCCCTCTTCCTGCATCTTATCCCATCTCTCCCCCTATCCCTTTCCAAGCCCGGCGCAGTCTAGGCCTGTGAAGACTGTTTCGTCATGAGCCGGGGATCCGGCCTAAGATTTCTGTCTTTTAATAAGGCAGTTTTTTCTTACCACTGTAACTTTTGCTGCTTTGCTAAAAGTGCTCATGATGGATAGACCGGATCTTTGTAACATAACAACAAGTAAGGTCTTTTACCTGCTTTTTGTAACATAACTATGAGTAAGGTCTTTTACCTGCTTTTTGTAACATAACTATGAGTAAGGTCTTTTTACCTGCTCTTTTGTAATGTTAACAGACAAAGAGTAAGGTATTTTACCTGCTTTTTGTAAAGTGTCTTGAGATAACACTTGTTATGAGTTGACGCTATACAAATAAAAATTGATTGATTGATTGACTGAAACTACATTAGACTCTGTTCTCCAACCTGATGCCAAAGGATTGGGGCAGTATTAAGTATTAAGTCTGTTATTTTGGACAATCTTTTGGACATGGTGTGTTTAAGGTACTTGGGGAAAAAGGAGGAATTTCATTGTTGTTGCGATCCTGCTGTTTGCAGACAGAGTTGGGTAAAGGTTAGAGAGCACCCTGTGTCCATTTGACATTTACACATCCTTAAAGAAATGTTAAGCTTTGTTTGAAAATGCCACGGTGGGTTGTGGGTATTGTTGCTGGTTGGTGCTGACGGAGCTGCTTTTAGTTTTCAGTCACACACAGACTGAGCGTCCTAACAATCCTGCTGAGACAAGTGAAATAGAGACAAGTGCTTTGCTCTGTGTTTATGAATGATGAGTTTGCAAGGTTGTTCTTTGTTTATAACATTTTACAACACAAAGAGCCAATACTTAAACAACAATAATATTTTTTTTTCTTTTATATTTGATTCTGTTATTTTTTTTAAACCTATTTTGACAGAAGAAAACCGAATACAGTGTACAATCCCTGTATGGATAAATATATATATTGATGGATTTATGTGAATCTTTTAAGCAAAGGAGCTTTTTACAGGGCTCAGCATTTAAAAACATTTTATTTCAAAATCGGAGTCGCTGCAAGTGATGGAAGATTTTTCAAAGTAACCAGAAACATCTCAGTCTCCCCCTTAACACAGCCTGACAGGACTGAAGCGGAGCATCAATTCTCCAACAGCTTTTGGCTTCACAGAAAAGATTTCCATCATAGTCAGATAGCATTCACTGAGGGATTGAGCTTCTTAAACATAAC